TCTCTTGCAGACTTTTTTCTCCGGGGGGGGGGGGGGGGGGCGAACACTGTTAAAAGTGTATATTTTCTATATAAATTATATAAATTTAATTTCGTTCGGGGGGGGGGGGGGGGGGCGGTAAATTTTTTCGGGGAGGGGAGGGGTCTGGAAGAAACTCTGGGGGGGGGGGGGGGGTTATCAGGGCTCAAAAGTTACATCACCTCAAAATGGTGTCCAGAGTACAATCTCTCGTTACAGACCCCGGTACTGTAGAGTACCATACCTTAGAAGTAGACCTACGTTATCACAGGAACACAGAGTACCATACCCCAGTACCGTAAAGTACTATATCCCAGTACTTTTGAGTACCATATCCATCAACACCAGAACAAAATATACTTTTTGTATTGAAATTAAAGTTCTAATTAATTTTACTTAACAAAACAATAATTTCAACTGAATACGCAGCTTGCCATTTTTATTCGACCAAATTACTTCCGGTTTTATTAATCCCCCATAATTCCTCATGTAATCAAACAGCCCATCATTTTCGCACCAACCACACAGCACTCGTCTTTTAATTTTTCCCCTAACGACGTGCGCCGCGCGCGCAGTCGGAAGTGACCATCTCGATTTGCATTTCTCGCTCTCTTGACTCGAACTTCCGGTATCCGGTTTCGGTCTTGGCGTAGACAAGAAAAAAAAAGTCTGGTTGGAGGTTTGCGAACTTCCTAGAGAACCATTGATCACCTCGCGAATTTTATGTCTGTGGGACAAATACAGAGAGAAGTGTCATACGCGTCCAGAGTACTCGCTAGCAGTAGACACGCGAAGGGAGGTAACAATGCAGATCGTTCTTTATTGTTGGAGAGTATTGAACCACGCGCCGGTTCCCGCCACAATGTAAGCGTTCAAGTGTTAGCAGACGCGAGAAAATTTTCTTTACTGCTCGCCATTGTCCGTGTTGTTACAATGACACTCCCCACCAAACGTGGAATAAAAAAATCGAAGGGAAAGTGGAAATTAATACCATCATAAAAATATTGGGTTTTTTTTTTTTTCGGAAGATATAATGACTCTTACGAATGAGATCTGACGCGAAGTTGCCGGCAGCCGTACTTACCGGCATTCGAATTGACCGGCGGTCGTCCATTAACCACAACAAGAGGTAGCAGGTATTGTTAGATGTGAAGCTCCCTTAAATAAACCCGGCACCAATAGCGAGGTCTTGTAATACATACACCGCCAGAAACAAACGAGAACTTGTATTGTTGTGGTTCGGTACTTAAGTATTACGTACTTTTGGAGTTGCTTTACAGTGGCTTCCCCTTTCTAACAAGTTTTTTAAATTTTTAAATAAAGAGCTGGGTAAAAGGTGCGATGCAGTTATAAGGGGTTAAATATTTCTCTTTGTTTGATTAGTTTAAAATTGTCAATACATTAAGTGCAATTAACACGAGTCCACTTAAACTCTGTCCATCCAGTTAAGTGTTTAGTCAATAGAATGGACGGTGTTTCATCTTGGAGCCGATGGTTTGTCGTGAAATGGTAGACCGGTCAAGTGTGTGTACACTGGATGAAGTGGTCAGGTTCGGACACGGAGCAATGTGTTCGTCTGTTATGTAACTATATGTTTTGTAAGTCTGTGTGTTCTGGCGTTTGTAGCTCAGCAATTTATTCAAATCTTTGTAGTTTTTTTTTGTGTACATTATTTGAAATGCTAGTTTTAGAAAATAAAAATAAAAAAAAAATAGCACCGCCCCCCCCCCCCCCCCCCCATCCCCCGATATCAACGTTTTGTTTGCATTAAAAAGAATTTAAGTTTCGACCCAGACGCTCTTTAGGAATAAAACACCATAAAAACATTCTCGGGGGGGGGGGGTTAATGCATTTTTTTCCCATTCCGGGTCTCCATGTGAGGGTCAACCCTCCCCTCTCCCCAACGCCATCTTACCACGCCACTGACAGCTACCTCTCATCTCACAACAACGTCAGCGCTTGTGCACATGTCCTACGTCATCTCTCGCTACGTTGACGTCACTCATCACATGCACTAGTAGCGCTTGTAACCACACCAAGCAACTCACCCTCGTCAACACACGGAGGCAACTCGACATTAAACGGTCAAGCTGTCAACAGTAATTTGTTTTCTTTTTTCTTTTTAATTAGCCGACAATTTTCCTAATGAACAAACAGCTTGATTGTTTGTTGTAAAAACTAGACAGGATTACCGCTGGTTTCGGCGCTCGCGTCGACGGTTGTAGAACGTTCGAGAAAACTCGCTAGCTCTTGGGGCAGGGACGGGGGGTGGAGGATGAGATGGTGGGGTAGAGGGGGGGGGGGGAAGGGACGAGATGACGGGGAGCGGGTAGAGGGGGGGGGCGGATGATGAGATGACGCCGGCTAATTGACAGTACATGGTCACAGACTGGGGCTGATTTCATCGGAGTTTCCCGATAACTGGACAGGTCAGCACTATTATGTACCGCGCTGGGTGCGTCTGCTGCCACAGTTTGTAACGTGACATCGAGTTTGTAAAAAAAAAAAAAAAATAACAAGCTCAAGTCCAGTAATCAAGAACAGTAATCGATGCGAGAAAACTTGATTGGATTACCCCCCCCCCTCCCCCCATATCCCTGGTACTTTTCGGTTTAGTCCCTGCACCGTTATGCACCCCCCCCCCCCTCCCCGCCCGTGATTAGGGCCCCGCGCACCTGACATACCCCCGCCCCACCCTGACATACCCCCCGCCCCACCCCGCTGATTGGCGAGTTTCCCCAGAACGAGGGACGGGGTAATTACACGCGCCCGTCTCGCGCTCAACACAGACCACTCGCGCGGGATAATCGCCGGCCCCGTTAATTTGATTAAACCCTTCGCCCTAATGCGCCCCTTTTACTCTACCCCCGTCCCGCCCCCTCCCTAATTCATCCCAGCCATGTCCACCCCTCGATCTGCCTTCAGTTACTACCGACGGTGTTTCTTTCGCGTTTTGGTCAGTTCAAGTACGGCCATGTCCAATCACGTGACAAGGTATGTCTATTTTTAACACAGACGACACAAACTGGATTATTACATATCACATCTTCTGTCCTTATCAATATGACCCCTAGGACCACGGATCCCTTTAAGTCCAACAGGAACTCTAGTCCTACTCTAATCCATCTCTAACACCAAAAGTTTACCACCAATCCAGGGAAGGGCGGCACGGATTTTTATAAGTTTCTTCCTTTTAAAAAAAAAAAAAAAAATTTTTGTCCTTATTTTCTGGATTTAGATAAGTCTGGCCCCGTTTCTTTTGTACAGCTCATCTACAACTTATTTCTAAGCTAGCGGAGTAGAAGGGGAAGGCGTTACAATTCCCTTCCCCCCATTATCTTTTATACACAATCACACACAAATATATGCACACACACACACACATATATATACATATATATATATATATATATATATATATATATATATATATATATACATACATACATACATACATATATATATATATATATATATATATATATATATATATATATATATATATATGTATGTATATATATATATATATATATACATATATATACATATATATATATATATATATATATATATATATATATATATATATATATATATATATATATATATATATATATATATATATATATATATATATATATATACACACATACTACAACTACGGACGTATTTCTTGTCGGTAAAACTCGAGATAAACTCCCAATGACCAGAATAAACTACGGGATTTCCCGATAGAAACGCCAACACCTCTGAACATGGTAGAGATAAGATTAAGGACGTAAAAAAAATCTAAATTTGGAGCTAAATAAAAAATGTCGGGTATAAAAAAAGGCAGACAAAATGTCATCTATTAAACCCCAGTACACAAGCATGTCCATTCATTACAACCAAACATACATCTTGTCCATTTCTTTTTACGCTTAAAAAAACGCAACATTTTTCTATTGCTTATAATGATACTACTTTCTGAATTCCGCACTTAAACTTAAAAAAAAAAAAAAACCATCCCCCATTTTTCATAAATTTCCGGGCAGATTCTATTTTATGTAGTTGTCTGCCGGTGTATGATGTGTTATTACCTCCCCTAATGCCCGCCCTGGTTTGATGGGGTTAAATTTCAGGCTTTATTAGCTGATAAGGCGAGGGATTTACGGGATAATGGCGTACAGGCACCCTCGTTACTGGACCTGACGCTAGGGGTTAACTTGGACAGGGCGGGGGGGCGGGTCAGGAAATAATGAAGACGTTATTTCACTGAGGGAGACGAAGGCCATAAAAACATTTCCACAATTGGGAGTGGAGGAAAATGTATCAAAGAAATTATGTAGGAGACTTCTTGTGATAAAACCGTGTGTAAAGAGATAGCAAGGCTTGTTTTGAGCCACTATAAAGTACTATCTCGAACCTTACGGTCTATGGGGCTATTGAAGCTGAGTACAGTGAACTCAGCATAGGAATTGATTGTGTGGTCAGCACCAAGCCATCTTCACTCCCCCCTAACATGAGCTAGGTGGACTCAGCCGTACAGCATAATTTAGCTCCAATACAAATGTTCAAGTTAGCAGTCAAACGCTGTACCATTCAACACTATTATCTTTTTTTCACGACCGTGCCCAAGACATACGGGGCAGGTGAAGTAGAGTTCTTCTGTTTAAATGACCTTATCGTACAAGGGGATATATAGTGTGGTCAGCACTATGCCCAGCCACCTTTACTTTCCTTAACGTGAGTCATATTCTACCCAATTGAGCTGGGTGGACTCAGGAACATTCTAGACTTAATTCCAAGATCCAAATTCAAGACTTTTAGTTTAGTATTTACGAGCTCTGCCCTCTGACCACACCATCACGCTATAGTTTTATTAAAAACATGAAATAAGAAAAACAAAGGAAATAATCCATGTTTAGTAGAGTATAGACATACAATGCAAACTATATAGAGAAAAACAAAGACTCATGTGGTGTGAAAAGTATCACTTACAATAATATTTATTTAAAACATGTAAACACATCCCCCTCCCCCGCCCAGAGATTTCTAACTGCTGGTGTCTACTTTAGACTTCTTCAACTCCAAGTCCTGGCCAGATTTTGCTGTTGGTCGTTTGATGTTTCTTTTAGCTGTGGCGTCCTCTTGGAATGCTGACTTCCACAAAAATGGGAACAGGTCCATAGAAGATGGGGGACCTGGTTTGTTAATTAATTAGGTCACAGTTAATTAAGGAAAGCTGTTATAGTTCAAGGTAAACAAATAACTTTAAAATAAAAATAACAAATGATATAGGCCATTTACCAGTGGATGTTTGTGTGTGTTAATATGTAATATGTTAATATGTAAATGCATAAATTGGTCAACAAACCTTAGGTTGAGAAAGAAAAGTTTACCAAACTATGGTTATGTAAAGTAAAAAAATGTAATAACTTTAAATGTTTACTAAGGAAACAGTTATTCAAATGTTAATTCAAGATATGTTTATTTGAGGTAAAAATGAAGGTAACATATAGTTAGGTATATGTAGATAAGAAACCTATGGTTAATTCAAGATATGTTTATTTGAGGTAAATATGAACGTAACATAAAGTTAAGTATATGAAGATAAGAAACCTTTGGTTAAAGCCTCCTGGCTAGAGAAGACCTGTATCATCTTGGATTCCCTGCTGTCTGTCTCTACATCAGTCAGCTAGAGGAGCAGAAGATTCTAGAGGTAACACACTTTTTAAGTCAAGTGTTAGGACAAAAATAGTTCAATAATGGAAACCTATATTCAGTCACAAAAAACTTCAACCTGCTCTGCCATTAACTCATCACACCCCCCCCCCCCGCCACTTCTCTGTATCAGTCTACCTCTACCTTTTTATTTGGATACCCACCCCTCCCAAGAATGTAGAACGTCCCATAAACCACCCAGTTGTTAGATCAGGGGTCTCCAAACTACGGCCCGCGGGCCGGATGCGGCCCGCGAAGTCGTCTCATCCGGCCCGCGGAGATCTTTTTGTCCAAGGAAAAATCGTTTGTTAGTGATGTCTGAGGAACTTTGCCCAGAAAAATCAAAGACATGCCTAGAAGAAACTGGTCCCCGAATTGAAATTTGATAGTTAATGCGGCCCTCGGATTGAAAAGTTTGGAGACCCCTGTGTTAGATCATCATCCACCCAGCAGTTAGACCATAATCCACCCAGCAGTTAGACCATAATCCACCCAGCTGTTAGACCATAATCCACCCAGCAGTTAGATCACGTTACCTTAACTGTGTCCCCATCTCCCTGTATCCTATACGCTGACAACATCAAGTCCCCACCCCCCTCAGCCAGCACCCACAGGACACAGCGTGACACAGAGATACTGGAGACTTTGTGGGAGCAGCTCAGGACTGTGAGGAACTCTAGACTGGTCAGCCCCTGGTCAAGCTTCAGCCTGTACACAGGGATGTGTTCTGACCTGGTGGGGCAACACAAACAACAAAAAACTGATTAGATCAAATGGTGCCACAGCAAGCCTGAGCTGATCTGGTGGGCAACACAAACAACAGAAACTGATTAGATCAAATGGTGCCACAGCAAGCCTGAGCTGATCTGGTGGGCAACACAAACAACAGAAACTGATTAGATCAAATGGTGCCACAGCAAGCCTGAGCTGATCTGGTGGGCAACACAAACAACAGAAACTGATTAGATCAAATGGTACCACAGCAAGCCTGAGTTGATCTGGTGGGGCAACACAAACAACAAAAAACTGATTAGATCAAATGGTGCCACAGCAAGCCTGAGCTGATCTGGTGGGCAACACAAACAACAAAAAACTGATTAGATCAAATGGTACCACAGCAAGCCTGAGCTGATCTGGTGGGCAACACAAACAACAAAAAACTGATTAGATCAAATGGTACCACAGCAAGCCTGAGCTGATCTGGTGGGCAACACAAACAACAGAAACTGATTAGATCAAATGGTGCCACAGCAAGCCTGAGCTGACCTGGTGGGGCAACACAAACAACAAAAAACTGATTAGATCAAATGGTGCCACAGCAAGCCTGAGCTGATCTGGTGGGCAACACAAACAACAGAAACTGATTAGATCAAATGGTGCCACAGCAAGCCTGAGCTGATCTGGTGGGCAACACAAACAACAGAAACTGATTAGATCAAATGGTGCCACAGCAAGCCTGAGCTGATCTGGTGGGCAACACAAACAACAGAAACTGATTAGATCAAATGGTGCCACAGCAAGCCTGAGCTGATCTGGTGGGCAACACAAACAACAGAAACTGATTAGATCAAATGGTGCCACAGCAAGCCTGAGCTGATCTGGTGGGCAACACAAACAACAGAAACTGATTAGATCAAATGGTGCCACAGCAAGCCTGAGCTGATCTGGTGGGCAACACAAACAACAGAAACTGATTAGATCAAATGGTGCCACAGCAAGCCTGAGCTGATCTGGTGGGCAACACAAACAACAGAAACTGATTAGATCAAATGGTACCACAGCAAGCCTGAGTTGATCTGGTGGGGCAACACAAACAACAAAAAACTGATTAGATCAAATGGTACCACAGCAAGCCTGAGTTGATCTGGTGGGGCAACACAAACAACAAAAAACTGATTAGATCAAATGGTACCACAGCAAGCCTGAGTTGATCTGGTGGGGCAACACAAACAACAAAAACTGATTAGATCAAATGGTACCACAGCAAGCCTGAGTTGATAGCATTAAACCATTTGATTTAGGCGGGAGGCTCCAATAAAAAAAACTTTATTAATACTTGTTCAAAACACTTAATTTTGGGGAATTTTGGGGCATTAAAACTAGTGTTTTTAATGGACCCACAATTTGAAAATTCATAAAAAATTAGTTTGACGATATGCTCTTAAAATATTTAGCTTATTGGGTTTAAAATATAATATTTTATGAATGGTGGAAAACCTACGAAGGGGTTAATTTTTCAAGATGGCCACCGTTGTCATAGTTACAAAGATTTTTCCATCAATTTTATTTTAGTGGAAATGCATATGCGGATGTATCTTAATAAACCTTTAAAGAAATAACTGTTTTCTAACGAGTGTTAAAAAAGTTTTTTTTTACCGGAGCCTACCCCCTTAAACCAGTCCAATTCAAGGATAAAAAATACCTAGGTTTATTACTCTAATTTAATATTGGACGGTAGAGTGCACAACAACTTATAAGAAAGTTTTAAACCCAAAGGCCATAATTGTAAAGTAAAGGTGGCTGACCCTGAGCCTACCCAGCTCTGGTGGGTACCTCACTAACAAAACAAAAGGTAAAGGTGGCTGTCCCTGAGCCTACTCAGCTCTGGTGGGTACCTCACTAACAAAAAGTAAAGGTGGCTGTCCCTGAGCCTACCCAGCTCTGGTGGGTACCTCACTAACAAAACAAAAAGTACAGGTGGCTGTCCCTGAGCCTACCCAGCTCTGGTGGGTACCTCACTAACAAAACAAAAAGTACAGGTGGCTGTCCCTGAGCCTACCCAGCTCTGGTGGGTACCTCAATAACAAAAAGTACAGGTGGCTGTCCCTGAGCCTATCCAGCTCTGGTGGGTACCTCAATAACAAAAAGTACAGGTGGCTGTCCCTGAGCCCACCCAGCTCTGGTGGGTACCTCACTAACAAAAAGTACAGGTGGCTGTCCCTGAGCCTACCCAGCTCTGGTGGGTACCTCACTAACAAAACAAAAAGTACAGGTGGCTGTCCCTGAGCCTACCCAGCTCTGGTGGGTACCTCAATAACAAAAAGTACAGGTGGCTGTCCCTGAGCCTATCCAGCTCTGGTGGGTACCTCACTAACAAAAAGTACAGGTGGCTGTCCCTGAGCCTACCCAGCTCTGGTGGGTACCTCACTAACAAAACAAAAAGTACAGGTGGCTGTCCCTGAGCCTACCCAGCTCTGGTGGGTACCTCAATAACAAAAAGTACAGGTGGCTGTCCCTGAGCCTATCCAGCTCTGGTGGGTACCTCACTAACAAAACAAAAAGTAAAGGTGGCTGTCCCTGAGCCTACCCAGCTCTGGTGGGTACCTCACTAACAAAACAAAAAGTAAAGGTGGCTGTCCCTGAGCCTACTCAGCTCTAGTGGGTACCTCACTAACAAAACAAAAAGTAAAGGTGGCTGTCCCTGAGCCTACCCAGCTCTGGTGGGTACCTCACTAACAAAACAAAAAGTAAAGGTGGCTGTCCCTGAGCCTACCCAGCTCTGGTGGGTACCTCACTAACAAAACAAAAAGTAAAGGTGGCTGTCCCTGAGCCTACTCAGCTATGGTGGGTACCTGACTAACAAAACAAAAAGTACAGGTGGCTGTCCCTGAGCCTACCCAGCTCTGGTGGGTACCTCACTAACAAAACAAAAAGTAAAGGTGGCTGTCCCTGAGCCTACCCAGCTCTGGTGGGTACCTCACTAACAAAACAAAAAGTAAAGGTGGCTGTCCCTGAGCCTACCCAGCTCTGGTGGGTACCTCACTAACAAAACAAAAAGTACAGGTGGCTGTCCCTGAGCCTACCCAGCTCTGGTGGGTACCTCACTAACAAAACAAAAAGTACAGGTGGCTGATCACCAAACTGAGCCTATCACTTCATATGCCAAGGTAACAAACAAGTGAATTCTACTTCATCTACCCAATTAACAAACAGGTACAAAAGGGTAACTTTTACTTTACATTTTTATTAAATAATCTTAAAAACGTACAAAGTTTTTAACAATAATAATTAGACCAAAAAGAACAGGTTTTTTTACTATATGTTGTAGATCTGGGAATATAAACCTGTTATGCCTTATCAATACCAGAGTTAAATTAAGACCTTTAAACTGAATTATATTTAAAACAGTTTTAAAACAATGAAGCCATGTTCCTGCGTAGCTGGCCAATACTTTTAACAACCTGCCACGCAGTCATCTGGTCAAATACATAGTGCCTTGTATATATCATAGAGAGCACAACCAAAACTAAATATATTTTGCACACAACACCTTGCTGATCTCAGATTTAGACACCCCACCCCCTGCCAGTGTTAACTAAACCCTTCCACCCACCAGTGGTACCCCCCTCCCCAAGAAATGCAAATCTAGTTCAACTGACCTGTATATGGCCACAAACAGGAGTTTACACTTGGAGCAGTAGGTCAGGCGCTGGACAGCGTTCTCGCAGGCCAGCCTGTTGGCCAGGGTTCCAGTCACGTCCTCCTCACCTGTCTGGCCAGACGCAGGTGTGGCACCACCTGCAAGATGATGTCATCATGTCACTCGTGGCTGTCTCCACCACACACAATAAGATCACAACACCACAACTTCCCCCCCCCCCCCCACCACACACAATAAGATTACATTTGAACAACTCAACAACATAACTTTTCCCTGTCTATATGTAATAGTGACCAGTAACACACATAGATGGAGATAACTTCTTCCCTACTGAACTGTTAAGGATTGAATCTGTTACTTGTCAAGGGGTGCTAGATATTCCACTGTGTCAAACACATGTTCCCTTATATATGTGTACACATATGTTATCATCCAACGGGGGATGAGTCACTTAGGAACTATGGTTAATTTTCAGTCAGACTTAAAGCTGGTTTCAATGTTGAATTAAATAACATGGGTGTATGACTTCGAAAAAACACTCTCAATGCTAACCACACCTAAAATCAATTTAAATTGATTAATAAACACACTTAAAACAGCCGCTTTTATTGCCTTAATGATTGTTTTTAAAACGACCAAAAACCTAATTCAATGTAATATTCCCACAATTGTTCACTTGATATACATGTTCTATCAACATCTGCTATACATGTTCTATCAACAGTTGATATACATGTTCTATCAACCAACAGTCAAATCATTTCTATGACAGTAAGCCACAAACCATCTTTACTCTACAGCCTAGCACAAGATTCTATCAACAAGAGTCCAGTAACCAGAACTCTCTTGCTTAAACTAACTGCTGTTTGATTTATTTCCCTTTGACCAATGTTTTTTTCTTCTCATGACAAATTTTTTTTTAAACAAATTAGAATCATTAGAAAAAAATATTTTTAATCAAGATTTGTGCTTGGTCCTTGTTGGATTTAATACTTTGATACAAAAAAAATGGAAACAAGTTTTATTAATGTAGCAGTTTTAGCAAGATGTTTGTACATTGTTTGTTGTGATGGAGATTGTACTCAGTGATTAGTTGAAGGCCTACTCCACACTGAGTTGCTCTTGTAGCTGAGTGTAGCACACACAACTTTAGTTTTTTATTTTATTTTACAATATCTAGCAGCAGGGGGTGTAAATGATTACATTAATTTATAATTAGAATTTTAAAAATATTTTTTTAGAATTAAAATAATTTTTAATTAAAAAGATTAATTTTAAAAATGTTTAGGAAATGACAAAAACTGATTCTTCAAGTCAAAAAATGTTATGTAATTATAAAAATCAAAGTCTGCTAATTATCTATTAGCCATTGAGTCTATTTTTTTGAGAGAGTCTAAAATCTATTTGTCTTTAGCACTACAAAGACACAGACATGAAAAAAAACTGACAATTACCATCAGGCAACTTGTCCAAGACGTTGACACTGAACAGCTCCTGGCCACTGAGGCTCCATAGCTTGACTGTTGAGTCCTGTAGGAGAAAATACATTGTGTGTCCAATAAAGTCAAATGTCTGTATAAATCAATGGAATCAAATTGAAACTATCACCATCCAAGCCACCCCCCTCTGCCCAACACACTGTCTACTTAACCCTGGTCCTTATATGTCTGTAATCACCACCTACCCCTCCCTTCCCCCAAACATACTTCACCCCTCCCTACTAGTACTAACCCTGCCCATCTGATTACCCCTCCCCTCCCTCCAACAAACATTGCCCCTCCCTACTAGTACTAAATCTGCCCATTTGATTACCCCTCCCCTCCTGCCCTACATTTGATTACCCCTCCCCCCAACAAACATTGCCCCTCCCTACTAGTACTAACCTTGCCCTACATTTGATTACCCCTCCCCCCAACAAACATTGCCCCTCCCTACTAGTACTAACCATGCCCAACATTTGATTACCCCTCCCCCCAACAAACATTGCCCCTCCCTACTAGTACTAACCCTGCCCTACCATCCAGCCAACATTTCCTGCCTCAACATGATCACCCTGTCTTATCAACCCCCATCAATCCCACATAATTAACATGTGATATCACCCCACCCCCTTTGCCTCTCCCATCTCCGTTCCCACCTCACACATTTACAAAATGTTATCACCTCCCCCACTAAAATACATATGCTAACCCCCCCCCCCCCCAAACTTATTTAGTGTTATCAACCCCCATCCTAACAGCACACCCTCACCCAAGATGATGCTCTAACTTCCCCCCAAAACCCACATAGTTACCCCAGATCCTGAGATGATGCTCTGGCTGTCCCCCACCCCCCAGATAGTTACCCCAGATACTGAGATGATGCGCTGACTGTCCCCCTCCCCCCACCTCCCTACCCCCAGATAGTTACCCCAGATCCTGAGATGATACCCTGACTATCCCCCACCCCCACCTCCCCACCCCTAGATAGTTACCCCAGATCCTGAGATGATGCCCTGACTGTCCCCCCACCCCCCCCCCTAGTTACCCCAGATCCTGAGATGATGCTCTGACTGTCCCCCACCCCCCCCCCCCCCAGATCCTGAGATGATGCTCTGACTGTCCCCCACCCCCCCACCCCAGATAGTTACCCCAGATCCTGAGATGATGCCCTGACTGTCCCCCACCCCCCCACCCCAGATAGTTACCCCAGATCCTGAGATGATGCTCTGACTGTCCCCCACCCCCCCACTGCAGATAGTTACCCCAGATCCTGAGATGATGCTCTGACTGTCCCCCACCCCCCCCCACCCCAGATAGTTACCCCAGATCCTGAGATGATGCCCTGACTGTCCCCCCCACCCCACCCCCAGATACTTACCCCATATCCTGAGATGATGCACTGTCCCCCACCCCCCATATAGTTACCCCAGATCCTGAGATGATGCTCTGACTGTCCCCCCCACCTAACCCCCCCCCCCCCCCAGATACTTACCCCATATCCTGAGATGATGCACTGTCCCCCACCCCCCATATAGTTACCCCAGATCCTGAGATGATGCCCTGACTGTCCCCCACCCCCCCGATAGTTACCCCAGATCCTGAGATGATGCTCTGAATTGCCTCCACCCCCACATCCCCCTCCCCCAGATAGTTACCCCAGATCCTGAGATGATGCTCTGACTGTCCCCCCCCCCCCACCCTCACCCCCCCCAGATAGTTACCCCAGATCCTGAGATGATGCTCTGACTGTCCCCCACCCCCACGATAGTTACCCCAGATCCTGAGATGATGCCCTGACTGTCCCCCCCCCCCCCCCGATAGTTACCCCAGATCCTGAGATGATGCTCTGAATTGCCTCCACCCCCACATCCCCCTCCCCCAGATAGTTACCCCAGATCCTGAGATGATGCTCTGAATTGCCTCCACCCCCACATCCCCCTCCCCCAGATAGTTACCCCAGATCCTGAGATGATGCTCTGAATTGCCTCCACCCCCACATCCCCCTCCCCCAGATAGTTACCCCAGATCCTGAGATGATGCTCTGAATTGCCTCCACCCCCACATCCCCCTCCCCCAGATAGTTACCCCAGATCCTGAGATGATGCTCTGAATTGCCTCCACCCCCACATCCCCCACCCCCAGATAGTTACCCCAGATCCTGAGATGATGCTCTGACTGTCCTCATCAAAGGCCAGCGATATCACAAACCTGTCCAAGGGAGATAACAACATGTTCAATCCACGATCAATCAAAATTAAATTTACATTAACCGATAACCAATAATCAATCGACAACGAACAGTCAACCGGATCAGAGTACTTGTACTTTGGGGCATGAAAGTGTTTACACTACTGTAATTAAAGTACCACTGTGGTGTAAATATTTACAGTACTTTTGTTTGTGGAGGCGTGTGGGAGTTCTACCTATTAGCAGAGAAAAGAATCCAACGATCGTGCACACGTTAAAGTATTTCTTAATCCAACACAAGCAACAGAACAGGGCAAGCTTGTCCTTACGTCCTGGTGTTATGATTCAATCAGGCAAAGACCAACGGTCCAAAAGACATTAAGTGTGTGTTAAAACTAAGAAGACCGTGGTATCGTTCCGACCATTCTCGGTTTTGTAGACAACATGTGGTGATGGTGTACCAGCCATAACTGCAGCATGTCTAGACATGTGGTGATGGTGTACCAGCCACCAAACGCTCACTGCACATTATTGTATGGTTCCATATTTGTCTGGTACCATGTATGGTCCTATTGTGGTCTAGTCATTTCTAACTATGAAATCCCAGCCGCCCATAAAGAGGTCGGTGACCTCTGACCTATGACTCCCGACCATTACGTGCTGACCCTTGTCCACGGCCGCCATTTATTTCAATCAAACCAGCTGCTGTCTCAGACTCCAATAACCGCCAGTGGTCAGCGCTGGTCATCTCACACCATCGATGTTGTTCATAGCACAAGCTGCTCCAGGTAAACTCACTCCGTACAGGCTAAGTTGTTCAGTCTTAGGCCATGTGACGTCACACCGTACAGGCCAAGTTGGCCACTCTCAGACCACTTCCTCGTCTCAGGCCATGTGACGTCACTACGTACAGGCCAAGCTGTCCACTCTCAGGCCATGTGACGTCACTCCGGACAGGAAAAGTTGACCACTCTTGGGCCATGTGCCATTACGGTAACTAGGACACTGTGACGTCATATAAGAGTGACGCCATTGTGAATTGTGATGCCGTATCGAGAGTGGGTTGTCAGGTCAAAAGGATAGAGTTGTGATTTCTCGAGCCTTAGAATTTCAGGGTAGCAATTGTGTGCTCTACCCCTCAACCACAACGTACCGGACTAAAGTACGACGACCTCTGACCCCCCACCAACCAACTCGCTACACTCAACCCATGCAAAATATCATTTTTCATGTGATAAACTCCCGTACTTGAAATCTCAATTTCTCAAATCATATTTTCTAAAAAGGGGATTTAACAGCCCGGTGGGATTCAGCTAAAAAGGTTGCTACAATAACCTTGTATTTCTGCTGTCTGCACCTCTAAAGTGCCGGGTCGGCTTTCAAAATCTTACATGTTTTTTTTTCTGCTCACATCTCTTCTGTTCGCCACGACCCGCTACACACACTTGGCCTGAGATCTACTGTTTAGGAATATCTAAGGCATTTTTCTTTTTACATGGATATACCCCCCCCCCCCCCCAACATTTTCTAGACCCTTCCTAACTTTTCCCGTAGTCCGTATGTATGGGGTAGTGCTAAAGACAGCCCTAGTGCTATTCAGCACGATTAAACAATACATTAAAAAAATGTGCATGTATTTCCCGACTTTGTATAGTCTTCGCTACTGGTACACACAAAAATTAGACGCTACACAGACATTAGTGAACTGCCTGCAGCCATACAGCTATACAGAGACCGGCAGTTTAAAAAGGAAACCTAAGACAAAACGACGTAGAGATTCTTCACTAAATAACGGTGTAGGTTTTTTTCTTGTCTTACTTGTTTGCATATTTAGTTAAACGGTTTCAGACAAGGGCGATCATTCGGTGCAAGGGGAAGTAAGCGGGGCAAGGGAGACAATGGGGCCTAGATTTGTAATGACTAGGTTAACAAAGTGAAAGAAGGTAGATGGGTGGGGTTGATGTGTGGGTAGAATGGGATCTGTGGTTGTGTGGGTAGGGATGGTATAGTGACAAAGTCAGAGGGTGATGAAGGTAAAGGTTGTGTGGGTAGGGATGGGGTAGGGATGGTATAGTGACAAAGTCAGAGGGTGATGAAGGTAAAGGTTGTGTGGGTAGGGATGGTATAGTGACAAAGTCAGAGTGTGATGAAGGTAAAGGTTGTGTGGGTAGGGATGGTATAGTGACAAAGTCAGAGGGTGATGAAGGTAAAGGTTGTGTGGGTAGGGATGGGGTAGGGATGGTATAGTGACAAAGTCAGAGTGTGATGAAGGTAAAGGTTGTGTGGGTAGGGATGGGGTAGGGATGGTATAGTGACAAAGTCAGAGTGTGATGAAGGTAAAGGTTGTGTGGGTAGGGATGGTATAGTGACAAAGTCAGAGTGTGATGAAGGTAAAGGTTGTGTGGGTAGGGATGGTATAGTGACAAAGTCAGAGTGTGATGAAGGTAAAGGTTGTGTGGGTAGGGATGGTATAGTGACAAAGTCAGAGGGTGATGAAGGTAAAGGTTGTGTGGGTAGGGATGGGGTAGGGATGGTATAGTGACAAAGTCAGAGGGTGATGAAGGTAAAGGTTGTGTGGGTAGGGATGGTATAGTGACAAAGTCAGAGTGTGATAAAGGTAAAGGTTGTGTGGGTAGGGATGGTATAGTGACAAAGTCAGAGTGTGATAAAGGTAAAGGTTGTGTGGGTAGGAATGGGGTAGGGATGGTATAGTGACAAAGTCAGAGTGTGATAAAGGTAAAGGTTGTGTGGGTAGGGATGGTATACTGACAAAGTCAGAGGGTGATGAAGGTAAAGGTTGTGTGGGTAGGGATGGTATAGTGACAAAGTCAGAGTGTGATAAAGGTAAAGGTTGTGTGGGTAGGGATGGGGTAGGGATGGTATAGTGACAAAGTCAGAGGGTGATGAAGGCAAAGGTTTTGTGGCAGAGAGAGTCAGAGATTGTGTGGGTAGGAGGAGTGGAGTCAGAGGTTGTGTGGGTAGGGAGAGTAGAGTCTGAGAGTGTGATGAAGGTGACTACTCACTTGCTGTGTCCCAGACAAAATGACTCAATGACGTAAGCGTCAGGGTACTGGCTGACCCGGATTTTTTCATCTCTGTCGCTGGTTATGATACGTGAGTCCTTGGTCACCAGAATCTGTGTGTGTGGGGGGGGGAGTATTAGAGGTATATACAGGTAGGTGCATAAAATACAATTACATTTACAAATGAACTTATAAAACTGTTATATATATATATATATATATATATATATATATATATATATATATATATACATATATATATATTCACAAATATACAATATATACTTAAATATACATTTATTTATTTTTAAACAACTCAAAATAATTGTTATAAAGGTAGTAGCAACAAAATGCAGCAAAGCCAGCCTACCATGTCGAGCAGCATGGAGAGATGACCGAGCACCAAGCTCCCACCCTCACACACTTCCTCGTCCGGCGAATTGTTCTTCTTCCCCTCCCGCCCGGGGTCGGCGTCCCCCTTCTGTGTGACGCCCTCCTCCAGCAGGACGGGGAAGGAGTAGACGTCCCCTGCCTTGTCTGCTATTACCACGACGCTGTTGTCGCTGGTGAACCTCACTGTGGTGCACCTCCTGGGGACGCCCCTGGTTACAGAGAGATAAAAAAAAATAGCCGAGTTAACCCAGGACGGGGAACCCCCACTGTGATGCAACTCTTTGTGACGCCACTGGTCAGATAAAAAAAAAAAAGGCCGAAAAGACCCATGCTGTTAAACGCCACTGTGGCGTCCCTCCTAGGAACGCCTCTGATCTTTAGAAAATTCACAAGTTAACCCATGTGGCGCCGAGTTGTGTTTATGGAAGCAGGTACGGGTGTACTCGGCTGTCAGAGGGTTAATTGTGGGCTAACAAAGAAACATCAAAAACATGGCTGACTTGCGACAAGGGAAGACAACCAATAAATTCCCAGGAGCTCTCGACAGGGGAGAAAAAAATTATCCGCCCTTTTATTTTATTTGAGGATTAACGAAATCGTAAAGCAAAGTTTTATTTTCTTCCACTTGTGCTGTTTTTGTTCAATTGTTTTAGTGCCTACGATAAACGGTATGTAACAAAGAGATGCATTAGACATGGCAGGATACGCATTGTTGTAGTCGAACTGTTAAGTGACCTATATGGTCCAAGTCAGCTCAGTTACAGGTATGGTCCAAGTTACGTCAGTTACAGGTAGTCCAAGTCAGGTTTAATCAAAGGCAGGTATAGTTGGTTAAAGGTATGGTCGTAGTGAGGTATAGTCATTACAGGTATGGTCTTTACAGGTATAGTCGAAATGAGGTAAGGTCAGTGATGAGTACGAGACACGGGTGAAGACAGTTACATCTAAGACATGTAAGGTCAGTGATGAGGACGAGACACAGATGAAGACAGTTACATCTAAGACAGGTATGGTCAGTGGGGGGACGGGACCCAGGTGAAGACAATCCGCCACAGCTCGGGGTACACAGGTATGGTCACATCTGCGCTTCCAGAGCACCAGAACAATACCTTCCTTGTGCCACCATACGCTGAAAGACAGTACCCCCATCCCTCCTCATCATAACACAATCAACTCGCCCGCGGAAAACAATGGCAGACCCCCGCCCCCCTGTTCCACCCCCTCCCACCTACGTCTCCGCGTTTTGTTCAAACCTTTTAAATGTCTTCCCCACAATACCCTCTCTTCTACGCTGTTTTTCCCCTTCTTGTGTGTATGAACAACCAGCAATTATGCCGATCTCTCCACGCGCAGTGAGGCTGCCAATCATAACACACAGGTATGTCTAGAGATGGGAGACACACGAATTATAAGAGATGGGAGACACACGAATTATAATTTAAACAACACAGGTATGTCTAGAGATGGGAGACACACCAATTATAATTTAAACAACACGGCTATAGCGCTACTTCTGGTAATGTTGTGTAAAATTGTTGTCTGACACTATACTGACGCCTTATATATATGTATATATATATATACGAGAAAAATGGCCCGTTGAGGAAGGATACACCGGGCGCTAGGTTGATAGTGCTGTCTCTTTTCTCTAAACTAAAACCAACCCCCCCCCCCCCCACCCCCCAAAAAAACATGTCTACCGTCCCATTCAACGAAATATAATTATATACTTTTTCCAGTGTCCGCCCCCTCCCCGAAAATTCTACACCCGCCCCCGAAAATTTCAAGTACCCCCACCCCTCTCCGGGGAGGAAAAAGTCTGAAAGAAACTCTGGTGTCGCGCTTAGCCACTACCCGAAGAATTGCATTAAAGAAATTGCAAGAAAACCACTTTTTAGATTAGACACATTAATTAGGCGGTAATTTTATTATAGAGTATCGATGAAGAAATTTCTTTTGAGTTAGGGAGGGGGGGGGGGGGGCTCAGACGTTCTTACGCGGGGGTGGGGCTTCGCCCCTACCCGAAGAATTGTATGAAAGAAACTCTTCACTCAAACCACTTAGATTAGTCAAAATTTCCTTGTTATTCAATGTTTACTCGAGAATCAATGACGTCATATTACTGTGTGCACTCTCCGGCTTGAGATTATTTTCTACTCTGTGCTAAATGTGTCGACGTCATACTTCGTTTTTCGAATTACTGTGCATGTTTTTAATTTCCTTGTGTTTTCTCTAGAGCGTTCTTGTCAGATAGATAGATACATAGACAGACAGCGAAACTATTAGTATTAATATATATATGCATATATATATATATATATATATATATATATATATATATATATATATATATATATATATATATATATATATATATATATATATATATATATATATATATGTATATATATATATATATATATATATATATATATATATATATATATATATATATAATATGTGTGTGTGTGTGTGTGTGTATTCAAAGTAAGTAAAAGCCAGCACAACCCAGCTGAGAAGAAAATCAGCTCAACCCCATCAGCCACTGGACGGTCTAATCTGATATGGGTAGTCAACGTTCTAAACGTTCTATGGTCTACTTTTTACAAATGGTCAACTTGCATAAGACGGACACCACCCGGTCATACGAGCTAGGCCCATTGGTCAGCTGACCAGATGAGGAAGTAAGAACTCGCTGACAAGGAGGGGATTCTTCTCATCGCCAGAAGGGTAAACTAAAAAATGGTGCGGCGAATCATCGAATAATTAACTAATTAATTTGATTATTTTCAAACGGTGCTAGAATAATGCCAGCGCAGCCCTGCTATGTGATTAACTCACCGACTCAGCCCTATATAATTTCCAGCGGCCGCAAATAGCTCGCGAGTAGGACGGTAGTTTGACGGTCTTTTAATTAGTCGCTCGATACCCCTGTCGTCTAATTATACCTGTCATTCGTCCCCCACCCTACCACCACCCCCGGGGAGGCAGGTATACCTTCAGTGCAAACAGACATGGAAAAGTCAGAGGGTCTTTCGGTAAGCTGGGGATAGATATAGCGACAGGTGTTATGGCAGAGAGCTTCACACCTCATTACCTACATCAACCCCCTTAACCCCCCCCCCACAGACCCACCCTCATCGAATCATTTTACACCCAGCAAACAAATAATCTTAAGCAAATTATCTTTTTTTAATCGGCAAGCAATTATCGCAATTAATAATAATTAGCCGTGTCACGTGACGACATCGTAATGAGAGTAAACAAGAAAAAACAGTCACTAATCACGTGCTACTGTAAGCTATCCGTTACAAGTGTGTGTGTGTGGGGGGGGGAGTTAACTAGGTAGTTAGGGGGTAGACACGGTTGGGATGAGGGAAGTAGACCAGTGGCCTGCTGCCCGTACAAAGCAATGGATAAATTTCTTGGATATTTCTGATGACATAAGCCACACTGTGGGCTGTATTCAAGTTCAGATAGTTTTATCTATGTAAACTGTCTTTAAATGTTGGATGAACGCCTTGTACATCATTTCTTTAAGAAAAGTCTTACACCTTAGAAAAAGATCGAGCAGTATTTATTTATTCCTTCATACTTAGCCACTATCTAGCCAACACTTGTCTGGAAAGACTATCACTAGGTCGGTGTAGATACATGGGTTATTGAAATGATAGATAGACACAGTCCAGCTGTTTTCAGATCACGTGTGTTCTCAGCTGGCTGGTGTTTTAACACTGTCACATCACACAACTAATGTTGTGAGGCTGGGGTTGTCACGTCACAGAGGATGGTGTGAGGCTGGGGTTGTCACGTCACAGAGGATGGTGTGAGGCTGGGGTTGTCACGTCACAGAGGATGGTGTGAGGCTGGGGTTGTCACGTCACAGAGGATGGTGTGAGGCTGGGGTTGTCACGTCACAGAGGATGGTGTGAGGCTGGGGTTGTCACGTCACAGAGGATGGTGTGAGGCTGGGGTTGTCACGTCACAGAGGATGGTGTGAGGCTGGGGTTGTCACGTCACAGAGGATGGTGTGAGGCTGGGGTTGTCACGTCACAGAGGATGGTGTGAGGCTGGGGTTGTCACGTCACAGAGGATGGTGTGAGGCTGGGGTTGTCACGTCACAGAGGATGGTGTGAGGCTGGGGTTGTCACGTCACAGAGGATGGTGTGAGGCTGGGGTTGTCACGTCACAGAGGATGGTGTGAGGCTGGGGTTGTCACGTCACAGAGGATGGTGTGAGGCTGGGTTTGTCACGTCACAGAGGATGGTGTGGGGCTGGGGTTGTGTGTATGTATGAATGGGCGGTGATATCCTCAAATAACAGGAAGAAAATTCCTAAATCTAATTTACAGACAATAAAATGCTTAATGAACATTAACTACAATCATAATCAGTTCAATCATACAAAACATCACGTGTAATTAAGTTAAGGATGACGTATTGACCCTTGTGCAACACAATAATGACCCGTGCACCACACGCCAGTGACTCCTGCACCACACGCCAGTGACCTCATGACCCCTGCACCACACGCCAGTGACCCCATGACCCCTGCACCACACGCCAGTGACCCCTGCACCACACGCCAGTGACCCCATGACCCGTGCACCACACGCCAGTGACCCCTGCACCACACGCCAGTGACCTCATGACCCCTGCACCACACGCCAGTGACCCCATGACCCCTGCACCACACGCCAGTGACCCCTGCACCACACGCCAGTGACCTCATGACCCCTGCACCACACGTCAGTGACCCCTACACCACACGCCAGTGACATCATGACCCCTGCACCACACGCCAGTGACCCCATGACCCCTACACCACACGCCAGTGACATCATGACCCCTGCACCACACGCCAGTGACCCCATGACCCCTGCACCACACGCAAGTGACCTCAAGACCCCTGCACCACACGCCAGTGACCCCATGACCCGTGCACCACACAAAACATCACGTGTAATTAAGTTAAGGATGACGTATTGACCCTCGTGCAACACAATAATGACCCGTGCACCACACGCCAGTGACCCCTGCACCACACGCCAGTGACCCCATGACCCGTGCACCACACGCCAGTGACCCCTGCACCACACGCCAGTGACCTCATGACCCCTGCACCACACGCCAGTGACCCCATGACCCCTGCACCACACGCCAGTGACCCCTGCACCACACGCCAGTGACCTCATGACCCCTGCACCACA